CATACCCTCCAGCCAGGTAACAAGACACCATACAATTATATTCTGCTCAACCTTATACACTGCAACATGCAGCAAGAGATGCAATTCCAAAAGACATATTTATTTTTAATACTGAGAACCACCGACATGAGGTTGGCAAGGTGGTTTTGTTTGTCCTTTGTTATTATGCACAGATGAATTCTTATTTGGCTATGATAAACATGTCCTTAGGAATGTCCGTCTGTATCTAGCAAAGTATGAAGAAGAAATGAAAAAATCAAATAATGTTTAATGGCTTAACAAAGAATGTGCATTCAGTTGTGCAAGCATAACGCTTTGAAACACTATACCCCAAACGACTTAAAGTGGCAAAAGAATGTGCATTCAAACAAACATACTGCACAAACTTTTTTCTTTTATCAAAGAATCTTAACATGTCAAATCTTGCTGGAGTACTTGTTTTTAAGTGTTGTTTGTTTACATCAGTATGTAAGTTTTATTTGGCATAGAGTAATACTATCGTTGTCAGAGTCAGTTTGAATACTGTTGGTTTTAATAAATGCTGATTCTGTTAACCTTAACCGTAAACTATTTAATATATAACATGTGTACCCAGTATGAACAAACTGTTGTCTGAGAAGGCAAAGCTCTCCACAGGAAATGTTGACACTGCAGCAAGACTATATACAAGGAATTAGTTGCGTTGTCATTTAAACTGAATCATTAATATATTTTTTTTATTCTGTAATTGAACCTTATTAATTTCCTAATCCATCACAGACTCAGTGGTCACTAAAATAGTAATATCTTAATAGTTCTATTTCATTCTCCTCTGGTCAGACAATTCCTCAAAAGCAACAAAAGCTTTTTTCATCTATCTAGATAGAAATTGAATATAAGTTCAACTTGTCATCAGTAACAGAAGTTCCTTAAACTCTGATAATGTGATTATTATCATTGAAAGACAATTACTTTAAAACAACTTTAAAAATAACAAGTTCAGTCCTGTTTCCTTATCCTTACAATAATACCCTGTCCCCTGTTTCACAAAATGATCTTAGCGCTAAGATGACCGTAACTCCCACACTCTAACATGGACTTACGATCATACACTCATTCTCAATGTAAGTGCACAAATGCAAATGTTTTTCGTAAAAATCAAAGGTTGGAATAAGAGGTTGTAAGTTGCATGGTGCAATAGTCACATATTTGTATATTATGTTTATGAATTTTTAACATCCAATTCAAACCTAATTTCTTGTTATCATGGTCCAAAAATTGTAATTTATTATTTCTTCATATAATGAATAACTACAGTTTAAACAATTAAATGTGTAAACTTTTTAAATTGTATTCATTTATAATCAAGAACATATATTAATGGACTCTTAGACATAAAATTCACTGTCCTAAACATGGTCCGTAGTATAATTTCTAATAAGGAAGGAAGCAGGTTTGATTGTATAGTATGTTATGAATCTTGTATTTTACGCTATGAAAAACATTTATGTTTCGTGGAAGAAACATTTGGCCTTACACGCGACTATCTTTTAGCATAAACTACACCTAAGTAACTTCCAACCGATAACACTCATGGTCGGTAACAGCAAATTGCAAATGTAACGTTTACACATCTTTAAAGATTTCCTCAAATTTACAGGCTCATATTACGTTATAACCATCGTTCACCACATGAGCATCGTATCGAATTATCATATTGACAAGTGTGCTAACTCACTTATGTATGTTACTACCTATATTTGACAATTTAACCCCTTGATATAATGTATATAGCTGATCATGAATAGACAACACAAATAAAACGTAATAAACATAACGTAAAACACAATGACGATGTTCACTGGTAGCCAACTGATATATTTGGCATGACTTTACAGAATTCTCCATTTGCTGGCATCATTAGCACCGAACCAACCCATAGTATGATTTGACGCATGTTTATTTTCTCCATTTTGCCAGAAAGGCCATAACGTAAAATACACCCTTAACCATACGGTTGTTAAACTCAAGTATGTAAAGACACCATATGATATGAAACGTTTTATTTTTATTTTATTCCACAATTAAATAAACTAACTATGCGTTAATACAGATATTCACTGCAAGTTAGAACTGAATTTCCACTGAATTTTAGTCCATAATGTAAAATACATGAAAACAACGACATAGCACAATTCACCTTTTTGTGAAATTTAAGAAAATGCTTAACAGTATGACTTATTAACAGTTGTCTAATCTCATTGATCGTGCGCTGTCATTAGACACTTGTTTCAGCTTCCTGAACTCATCTCACTAACGTAGTCGATATACCATCGCCTGTTGGCGACTTTCTTATTTTTATAAGTTCTTTCTTAGCTGGGGCATTTCTCACAAATATGGACAGCAAAGTGTGACACTAACATTAATTATTATGTTGCCACTTTGATTTTAAACTAAATCAATCATATATTGTAATGTTTTAATCAAGCATTTACCGGAAAATGTATTGTATATGGAGACCACGTGAATTTTGTGAATTGTGCACTTATATTGAGAATGAGTGCATAGTGCAAAGATCACTTTGTGGGTGGGGCCCTGTTTGGTATTACATATATGTAATTGTCTGGCGTTCTCCTAAAGCCCAGGCTCTGACAAATCAATCCAAAGTTGGCAACTACTCATGGGATAAAATAAATCTAATGTCACACCAAAAATATAAAGTGACTTGTTGTTTATTGTTCATTTATATTTTAGACAACCCATTTTGTTCACAAGATGTGTTTGACTCACTGCAAATGTCACTGACTTACCAAACAATGGACTTATTTGCAGAATGAGGTTAAGAACCTGAGATCTTTCACAGTGCACAACATTTTGTTCACCCATGCTGATTTCCCATACACCACTATACAGCTGTATACAGTCACTATGTAAGTTTATAATACTGCAGCTGGGTCATTGTCCTGTGGGACTTGGGACATAGCTATCTAAATTTTATGTCAGTTCTAAATTTCTGATTCATTGAGACTGTGTATTAACAACTGTCCAATGACTAACCCAGCAGTCAATCCTGCCTTCTCACTGGGTAACAAATGCTGGTTGCAATCAACAATTTTAACAAATCTGGAATTGGTTTTATTGAAGTATTGACAACATGGTGTTCTTTAGGAAAACAGTGTTTTGTACAAACGTCTGACATTTCAGTCATGATTTCATATATATTACCCATATGTACATTAAAACGAACACAAATGTATTACTTTTACCAGTGATGTAAAACTTGCTGAGACCAGACTTGATTATTTCTTTGTTTGTGAGCACCCCAAGGGCGGATACAGCTTTTAGAGAAATGCTTGTGGCTTTCACTAAACAGGTGAACGTCATAGACCTGCATTAACTGAGACTTTCCTTCTACATTCAGCTGACATGTGTGATACAACAGAAATAGTGTTGGAAGCAGTGCTAAACTCACTCACAATTATTACTTGGTTCAGGGATATTTGTGTGGAAAATCCTGATGGGAAAAATACATCAAAAATACATTTGCAGATTGTGGTTTCATCTTTAAGGAATCTTCATTACAATAGTTCCAGCACCACTTTTGTACCTGCCACATGGAAACCAAAGGTTTGGGAACTATTTTTATGACAGCATTAGGTTGTGTAAATTGAAACTGCTGTGAAGATTTGTTTCCTTCTATATGCAATGCCGAAATTCATGTGGTTTTCTTAATACACATGGACATTTCTCATACAACAAGCAGTAGTATTAATGATGGCGACCATACAACATGATTTTGTTTCAAAACTTTATCTCAGCTCAAAAAAACACAACTTTCCTTTTTCTTATGAGTAATTATTCTAATAGAACTTGAACATTTCCTGTTTGGTTGAACACTCCAAACATCTGCACGCATGTATTATAAAATTTATGAAGTCAGTTAAAGCAATGCAAATAGCACCAACCTTGCTGAGCCCAGCAAATCATGCAGGTAGACCAGGTGTTGTTTTCACCACAATTGCATGTTTGTTTTAAGAATAATTGATTCATTGTAATTCCAATTAATTAAAACTTAACATGTTTATCAGTGAAGAGGCCAACTACATTAGAACAGATCACCTCACTTTAAAGTCAACATTCTCTCATTTACAAATAATTATATATTTTGCAACAAAAGAAAACTGTGATATTTCAATGGGGGTTGAAGATCGTATTACAGGAAGAATTAATTTTTTAGGTATTGTGGATAGCTCTAATCCCACTTGCACTAATGCTCATTGACCGTGAGAATTCCAGGCGAAAGCACGATGACTTTATTATTACTACTAATACCTCCGACTGCTTCAGCTGGACGGGGTAACTAAGACGGGTCATGTCCCGACAGACTATGGAAACCAGTTTAACGCCTTTCAGAGTCAACACTACAGCTATATACCTACACAAATGACAGTCCCACAACCCATAAAAGAGCTGATAATTGTTCCAACAAGCAGAACCGTATTCAATGCCCGAGTCAAACCCTAAGGCCACGAGAACATTTCACAGAGTGCCCGCAAAATGTTCTGAAATACATACTGATATCCTATGAGATATGAAGGCCTGTGTGTTAGTCTCGCACCAAAATTGCCTTCCCCGAACGTCAATTGGCAATTATTATCAACAAAAGTGTTAAATATATGTGGTAAAAATGTGCACGAAGCAATAAGGACTGTGACAGTCCTAAAGAAAAAGAAAAGACGATCAATAGAGTTCATACCATCAAGAATACGTCGGAAGAAGCTTTGTCGCGTCATAAACGGGTGAAAATATAACTGTTTAAGAGAGCTATTAAAACGAAAGGTGAAGGAAGAATGGACATTTATATTTCTTGGGTTATGTAAGACTGTCAGGGACAAATATATGATAAAATAAATCACTTTCATTTGACGTCACTGAATATTTCGTATTTTTATTTGCTAAAAGAGACTTTTTATCATTATTTGATACAATCATTTCAAGACTCAATAAAGACTGTCTCTCACCGTTAAAGTCTGTTCTCCCCCTCCTTTAGTGCGGCTGTCATTCATACTTCCCCCTCCCTCGCCGCCGCTGTCCCTACCCCCTGTCTGGTCCTGTCCCGGGGTGGGTGGCGGTACGGCCGCTTGATTACGGCGTGACATTGCTTATTGAAAGCTGATCACCCCATAACGCTGTCCACTGGTATAATTCCCGGGTAAGGCACTGCTGAATGTGCTTCTCTCACTACATGTCAGGGTGTAATAAGACAGGCAAAGAATTATCACGGTAGGACATACATGCCCACTGCCGGTGTATAACGGTGTAAGCCTGTGTCACAATCAGGCCGCACTACTTCCAGCTCATATCCCTCCGCCTATAGTCTTCAAGGTGCGCGGACAGGTTATCGATCTGAGAAGGAATCGATCAGGAAAGTAAAGCAATCGCCTGAAACCAATCAATTTTATTTTTTAGCAGGTGGAACTGTGGTAGCATTATGTCAACACAAGCGAGACGCGTGTGTGCCATCGCAGGTCAAAGTTGGCACGTGCGTCGCCATGGACAACAGTAGCAGACGACAAGAACTACAGGCACGTTGACAACCTGTCACATTTGCGATAAGCTCACTCCTCTCGAATACAAGTATTTGATAAAACATTTGACTTAAACTGCGGTTGTTACTTTGAACGATGATCCTTAATTTCCAGCCGAGTCGGGAGACATTAAGGTATACCATGGGGTGTAATGTGGATCAATAATATGCAGTGTGACATTAAATATTAATAGGCTTGAAACTAATGCCGTAACTAGCGGTAATGACGAGCATTGTCAGGTAAAGTGGTAGGCAAGATAGGGTGAAGACCACAGCCGTCCAGCACGCGATGTCCTCTTCCAAATACAGCCTCATCGAAAGCTGCAAACTAAAAGACTGCGAGGGAGTTTTCAAATGTTATAATATTAACTCGTGCATTTATCTCTATATGTGATAAATTCATTCATTCCGAGTAATATATTCTCTTAAAATGTGTATATATATATATAACCCTTATTGAATGAATACCTTTGTCTTTAGTGCCAGCACACATGACGAAGAAGCACTGGCGCCTTGGGCTGAAATTCACCGTTCCTCTTTACTTTTAAGCGGACACCTAACTATTGAAATCATTAACCGAACTAAAAATATATCAGAAGTTTGAACACAAAACAACTTATGTCAGTCATGACGCGGATGGCCTAGAGGTTAAAGCGTTCGCTCCTCACGCCAAAGTCTCGGGTTCGATATCCAACATGGGTAGGCTACAATGTGGAGAAACCATTTCTGGTGTTCCCGTGTGATGGTGCTGGAATATTGCTAAACGCCGTGTAAACCCACACGCATTCACTCACTGAAGAACACGCATTCACTCTTGTTTTCAAGAACGCTTCGTGCTTTCTTTTAGTGACAGACCCGTGAAGATCCGGGTTAGTAGTGGTCTTCAGTAACCCATGCTTGTCGTAAGAGGCGACTAACGGGATCGGGTGGTCAGGCTCACTGACCTGGTTGACACATGTCATTGTATCCCAATTGCGCAGATCGATGCTCATGCTGTTGACCACTGGATTGTCTGGTGCAGACTCGATTATTTACAGACCACCGTCATATATAGCTGTAGCGCTGAGTGCGAATTAAAAGTAAACTCACTCACTCTTTTAGTGATAGGCTTGAGGAATGACAGCTGGAACCGAAGATGGAGCTCCCACAAACAACATTCTCGCGATAGTGGTTCTGCGGCATCTGTCCAAATAAGTAACTGAAGAGATTTGTTTTCAGTGAAGCAAAATTTGAAGTTCTCCAGTTCTCTTCCCCTTAACACATTAAAGATTGTTAATAAAACATACATCGCGCACCTCGTGGGCACTATATTCGTTGGAGACAAATCGTTTGGTTCGTTTCAAGTGCGGATTCACCCCGACACCCCCAACCACCCCGGGTGTTCAATGTGGTCTTTGGTCATTTTCAAGGGGTGGTGGTGTGTGTGGGTGGGTGGGTGGGTGGAGTGTTGGGTTCGACCGCCTCGAATGTACACACACACTCACCCTTAGATCCGCCAATGCTTTAGGACATTGTGTGCCCTCCAATGAAGTAATTGAAGTATTTGTCACAAGTACGTTACTCTTTCTCCCTTCACTTCCACGAGTGTGTGCGTGCGTGTGTGCGTGCGTGCACACCCGATAAAATATAGATATCGCTATGGAAGCACAGAATTTGGTGTGTAGGGTGGACGTAGGATGGACACACACGAACTTGACTGGTTCACTGTCCTATATGTACTAGGTAAATCTCGGGAGAATGCCACCGCTCATATCACCCCTGACGTTAGTTGTGCTATAATTAAATATATACGTCTTCATAGTGAGTTAGTGGGAGAGAGAGGTATAACAATTTTTCAGTTATTTCACGGCGTGTCGCTTTCTCTGAGAGGAAAGGCAAAGTGGTACATGTGGCAGACGTTTCCCATGTTGGAGAACCCCCAAAGCACGGGTATGATGCCAATTATTATTTGGGATTCGAAACTATGATCAGTGGTTCTTGGCGTAGCACCTGACTCTGCGAAGGACGGCGTCATAGACCATAGGGCGACCCATCCTGCCGCATATCAATGTTGTACTATGCGGTAGTAGAGTGACGTTGCCGCATGGAGTTGTTGTGACGTGTTTGAGTACAGTTAAGGTGGTCGTACACACCTGACAACATAATACACGTTATATTTACACTGACAAGTTTGTTACTGTATTTATTTAAGAACACCTTGCAAGGTAATGTGTGTTCAAAACTGATTGAATGGTTATAGATTTTCAGGATGTGTTGGTATGTTATTTGTTGTCGTAACATGTATATTTAATGGCTACCTTGAGCGAGAGGTGTATTTGTGATTCCCAGACACAAAACACATTGATTTTTCAAAGTCAGCAAAATAGTGGTTTTAGGTGTACATATTGGGGCATAATTAGAAATCGTTTCAAAGAAAGTACACACCAAATATATGTGAAAGGTGTTGCATAGGCGGATCCAGAAGGGGGTGGGGTGTGTGTGTGTGTCACCCCCTTTTGTCCTGAAAGTTTATTAAATGACCCTTGAAAACGAAGTGTGTGCACGCCTCTTTCTCAAGAGTGTGCACCCCCACCCCACCCCCTTTTCTCAAAAAGCTGTATCCGCCCCTGGGCCATGTTATTTATCTGTGATAGCAAAAGTTATTTGAAAATTTTCGACACCTTCAAGCACAATGTTTAGGCTTGACAATGTAAAGGAAGAAAATGATATTGTCTCGGATAATCAAATACGATGGTGGACATGTACTGTGATTAGGCACCGCTTGTAAACAACACGTCGGAGTCAAATTTCTGTCAAATTGATCGAGCATCTGAATCTCTGTAATGTAAACCATTGTGCATTATTTCCTCTATTAACGCCCCTTGAAATTATAGCATTGAAGAGAAGGTATGGCCTAACATGGAACGGTACCACCAATATCAACATGGTGGTCAACCTGTACTGTTGCCCTGATCTCCGTGACCTGTTCCCATACAGCGTTAATGAAATTACCAATCAGGATTGTGCTTAGTCAACAATGTTGGCCGAATTCCTGGTCAGTCATAACGACGAACTGACCACAGTGGACAATTGAGAAGGTCACGGCACTCACACATCATATGCCTGGCACCCTCGTATGTTTGACACAAAACCGTTCCTTTTGTTTCGACCGAGGTCATTAGAGTGTAGCTTTTGTAATGTGTATTCTACAGAATACATATCATCAATAGGTGTGAGAGAACTGTGAAATGAAGGGCATGTTTGACCTTGCTCCGTTGTCGCTGGGGCATTATAAGGAAATATACCTACTTGTCATAGCTTTACTGGCACTGCAACGCCACAATATTCAATTGTACTTCGATATAAAAGCCAGGTATATCAATTACGGATTTGCACTTGTTGTAAGCTAATGATAACGTTCTCCAACGTCAGCTGCCAGAGGGCGGCGGGGAAGCTTGGTAGTTACAGCGGTCTAAGACCCAGATTCGATACACCAGATTGGGACAGTTTGTGAAGCCCTTTTCATGTTCCCCGATATTGTTTGTACATTGCTAAAAGCGGCGTAAAACAATACTCACTCAGCTACCTGAGCGTCATTTACAAAGACAGAAGCAAGCCTATGTTTAGCTTGTTATGCTCGATGTTTAGCTTGTTATGCTCGATGTTTAGCTTGTTATGCTCGACTTTTAGTTTGTTATGCTCAATGTTTAGCTTGTTATACTCGACTTTTAGTTTGTTATAATCGATGTTTAGTTTGTTATACTCGATGTTTAGTTTGTTATTCTCGACTTTTAGTTTGTTATACTCGATGTTTAGCTTGTTATACTCGACTTTTAGTTTGTTATACTCGATGTTTAGTTTGTTATACTCGATGTTTAGTTTGTTATACTCGACTTTTAGTTTGTTATACTCGATGTTTAGTTTGATATACTCGATGTTTAGTTTGATGTTTAGTTTGTTATACTCGACTTTTAGTTTGTTATACTCGATGTTTAGTTTGTTATACTCGATGTTTAGTTTGTTATACTCGACTTTTAGTTTGTTATACTCGATGTTTAGCTTGTTATACTCGACTTTTAGATGTTATACTCGATGTTTGTTTGTTACTCGATGAGTTTGTTTACTCGTTTGTTTTATACTCGATGTTTAGCTTGTTATACTCGATGTTTAGTTTGTTATACTCGATGTTTAGTTTGTTATACTCGACTTTTAGTTTGTTATACTCGATGTTTAGTTTGTTATACTCGATGTTTAGTTTGTTATACTCGACTTTTAGTTTGTTATACTCGATGTTTAGCTTGTTATACTCGACTTTTAGTTTGTTATACTCGATGTTTAGTTTGTTATACTCGATTTTTAGTTTGTTATGCTCGATGGCGTTTTAGCTGCATCGACACACTCACGTGTATTTCACTTGTATCGATCTGGGGTGCAACCCACGTGTAAGATATGTGACCTCTGGAAAGATTATTGTATGTTTCCTTCTTCCCTGTATTGATGTAACTACAATTTGCTGTGTCATTACGAACCAGGAAATATCTACAATGTTATGTCTACAAATACACTGTCACTGTTGTTACTACACTGCGTTTCATGTACCATACTGCCCTGCAGCCAGTGTCCACCTACTTCTTGTCCAAGAAAGCTCAGTCGATTCCACCTAGAAAACCATTTGTGTTCATCCATGATCCATAAATAGGGAAAGAAATGGAAGCGATCTGTATTTCGTGTTTCCTCGTTTCTTTTCAAATATTTAAAATTATTCTCCAGGTGACTTCATCCTTCAGACTGAAGTCCTTAAC